GTATAGTCCCACCCCTTTCTCCTAAAAAAAAAAAAAAAAAAAACGGAGAACCCAACAAAAAAAAAATCCACACATTTGTGCTTATACTGGGGGGCTAAACTCCCTGTCTGGACTCACGCCATAACTAAATAACAATGGGCCTCATGCAAGAACATGTTCGTATTCTTATCCTAAATTTGTCTTACTTTTGTTTGTATGAAGGGTTCGTACGAACATGTCACATCAGATTCAACAAATTCTTCTATCTTCAGGAAAAGTGTGTAAATGAGCTGCGTAATTTCCACCTGTTCGTATCCAGCTGCTCGTACATGCGAGAGGAGATTAGCATAATTACCACCCCAAAAACACCATATAAGGCTATGTTTCCTACCTCAGATACAAGTGTTCATTCATGAAAAATGACAGCGAAAACTAAAAAAATAAAAACTTAACGAGTCCAGAGATTGAAGTCTGTCTGTCAGAGATCCAGAAAAGAAAATCTGTCATTTTTAGCAGGTCAGCTGTGGGATAAAAAGAGCTGCTAAAAGTATAAACATCTGTGTTAAATCATATTCATTTATTCAGAAGACACAGCGCTGCGCACCGTACACCGTACTGTCACCGTACATGACAGACCCCCCACCCTGCGCGCGCTGTGCGGGCGCAGGGTGGGGGGTCTGTCATGGGGTCTGTCCAGATCTTAGTTAGTGATTTTCCACCATTATTTGCAAAAAAAATTATTTAAAAGTCAGACAAAATGATTTTCTCAAATTTTTTTTCACATTTTGTCTCTCATAGTTGAGGTCTACCTATGATGTCAATTACAGGCCTCTCTCATCTTTTTAAGTGGGAGAACTTGCACAACTGGTGACTGACTAAATACTTATTTTCCCCACTGTATGTTGTATAGCAGCATCCATATTTTACCCAGTTAAATGACCAAATACAGTGCAATAAACCACAGAATAGTGAACTTAACTCATTTATTGTTGAGTATGCATTTTTTACTCCATCAAAAAATGTAAAGAAAATACTTTTTTCATGATTTTTGAGGAGTCAAATGGTGAGGCTCCTCCCTGCGAAGAGGTCTGCTGAAAAGGATGTCAAAATTTCCTCTAGAAAGTCATGGGACAAATTTAAACACTGCTATTGGTTCTCTTAGGATCCCATCTCTCTTTATTTGCACTACATCTTAAAATTGGAGGCACTGTGTATGTGTGGAAGGTACTCAAAAAGTTTGTTGCCAATGGCAACATCGTACCACAGTGGGTTAAAGGGTCTGCAGGATCTGGACCATCTGTGAGGGTAAGAAACACAGCAGGGACATAAAAAAAAACTGCAGGGCTCTTGTCCACAGTCCAGCCACCAGCTGACCTGAAACAGTGAACAAAATAAATAAATAAATAAAATAAAAAATTACAGATGTTAAAATACCCTGTGAACAATAAGAAAAGTTTACCATGTTTATAGTCTGTAAATATACAGTTTAATCTTAAAAACAAACAAAAACAGTTGGAAAATAATAGATTAGTTATTAACTATGATTAGATGTACTGTACGTATATTGAGACTCACATGTTTTGCAAGTTGAAGCTATTGTCAATAATTTTATTAACCCTCAGAAACCTACACTCATTCAAAATGATTTATCAGTTTAATTAGACAAACAGATCTGGTTGTACCAAACTTTTTTCTATTTGATCATTATAAAGTTCAGTGAGCAGCAAATATCTTTTCACCAGACATGTGTCTTAGCTCTGCAGGAAATTCCTTTGACCTCGTGATTTCTTTCTTCTTTTTTTTTTTAGCTCTGATTATTATGATTATATTATAAGTTTGTCTTTTAAAATCATGTTAACCAACTTACCACAGGTGAACTCCAGGTAAACATCTCAGCCGTGATCGCAAAAAAATAGGAGGAACTTAAGCTGAATTAGCTGAGTTTTCTTTCTGTTTTTACATTTAAAAAGCTGGATTTCACTTCGTCATTATAGCAGTGCAGTTTAGAGGTTAGCACTGGTGCCTGGGTTTGATTCTCAGTTTGAACCTGGGGTCTTTCTGTGTGGAGTCTGCATGTTCTCATGTTTGTATGTTTTTTTTTCCCCAGGTACTCCGGTTTCCTCCAGTGTCTAAAAATTATGGACGTTAGGCTGTGATTTATTTTGCAAAGGAATCCTCCAGGTTAAATTAAATTAACAAAGTAATAGAGTAATTGTAGTTAAAGAGTATAGATTAATGAAAAAAGCTAATTTGCATTTGTTACAGGCAGCAATACAAGAACGGTAAAAATGGGAAGCTTTGAAAGTTTTTGAAGTTACTGTAAATAAGTAAAAATCTGAATAAAACATTTCAGACAGATTGTTGCCAAAATAATTTTGTCTTATTGAAAATGTAATTGGAGGGTTTATTCTAGTATGTCTAATAAAATGGATGACTTGAGTTTTTGTCATTTTTAACAAATTTCCTCTTGAGTGGCACGAAGTATGTTTACAAAAGAAAATTCAGACTCAGAATTCTGAGAAAAATAGTCTGACTTTTTTCTCAGAATTGTGAGATTAAAATCAGAATTGTTATTATTTTTTCAGTGGCCGTAATCTTTCATAAATATCTATAGCAGAGATAAAAAATAAAACTTGATGCTCAATGTTTGATTTTATCACAGACTGCTTTTTTGTGTAGAAATATTGTTTTTATTTTTCTATTATTTTGACTTTATTTTTATACAAAATTGTCTTGTAATATTATGACTGTTTTCTCATAATATAATGACTTTATTTTTGTAATAAAAATCTTATGTGGCACTAGTACTCCTGCATAATAATAAACTTTATGCTTTCACTCCTAATTACAGTATTATCTACAGTAAATATGTTTACAGTTGTTTAGACTATAGCATTTGTGATCAGAAACAAAAAAAAAACTCAAAATGTTGCGATAAAGAATTTTTTATGTGTTTTGGAGTGAAATACAGAACTTTATCCAATATTCAGAATTTTTCTACAGAATTCTAAGCTGTTATTTGGATTACTCTGTTTATCAGCTGTTTCCCCACATGTACTACAATGTTTTACTTTTTAACCATACCAAGTCCTTTATTTGACACACCAAATATCTACCTTAAGGCTTTTTCTTTGGTTCTTTGTGAAAAGTTGGCCCATTGTCTTGAGTCCAACGTAGTTTGAAGTCTGATAATCCATCAGATTCCATCTGATTTTGTAGCTAAATGGGAAAAAAAGAATAAGCTTTTATTAAATCTGTGCCTAAACTTTAGAAATCACTTGTCACAAGGTAAAAGTAGATTCAACCAGTTTTGGTCTCAACGTACCTTGTCTAAAATCTGCTGCTGTTTGGCAGGATCATTCAGGTCCGTCTCAGACTGAAGCCTCAGCTTGAATCTCCTCCTCGATGGAATCAGTTTTTCACAGATAAAATCCTGTTTTGTGTTACAGTTGTCATCCCACCACGTTCCTGTGGTCGTGTTGACCGCAGCGCATAAAGTCGGGGTGTTACCCTGGTTCTCAGGCTGGTCTGTGTACCAGTTTCTGAAAGTTGTGAGGCTCTGGTCAGACCAGTTGCTCCAAAGACTTCTGCGAAGACCAATCCAGACATTTCTTGTCAGCATTGGGTAGATTTCATTATTCTCATTTAGGTTCATCACTGTGACTAGATCAGTGTATTTGGACATGCAGTAATTCCTCGCAACATCCCAGGTCATAAAATCTTTCACTAAAATGTAGTTGGAGGGGCCTTGTTCTGGAAGAGAAAGAAGAATGAAATGATTAATTAAGCTGTAGAATCAACAAATAGTTAATCTGATATATTGTCTTTTCTAGTTTTTCATACCTGCCTGTCATTTTTTTATTTTGCCCATTGTTCATTAGTTTGAGGCTTATGTTGTACTCTGTATATCAATAGTTATAACATTTCTTTTGATCCTTTGTTCCATTTCCAACTTTTTTTGTGTGTGGTCAAGAGAACAAAATCACCCTTAATTCCAAAGCTTCAGGAGTGTGGCACTCTACAGTTCTTTTAATTCTGGTGTTGCTACTGCAAAAGTACAGCCATGTAGCAGAAATGGCATGAGAAGAAGTGTAGCACACAGGACGTACATTCTTCATTCAAAAGTTTTTATCATATCTGAGCGTTTTTTGTTGTTTTTTTTAAGTTTGCAATGACGAAACTTCTTGGTTTTTGTTTCGCTGTATGGAGGACTGTAGAAAGAAACTTGTAGATTCTACCCTGCTGATTTTTCTGTTTACAACTTGTGACAAATACAAAAATCAGGATTTGTACAACAGGCCATAACATCACCCTCACCCCAATAACCCACACAACTGGGGCTTGCACCATCACCACCAAGACTTGCCAAGTTATCACTTATAAGCAACTTTGGGCTGAGAAGTTTTGTACATTTGGTTGAAAATATTGATAGTCTTGGTTTGTGTTTTTCTGGGCTTATTTGGAAAATGTAGCTGCCTTCATGGGCACTCCTCATGTCTCTGTCAACTAAATGAACATGTCTACTTTGACAAGTTGCAACATTCGTCAACAACAAGATGGTACAGAGAGATCTCACTTCCTATTTGCCTGTTATCTGCTTGGCCTTCAGAGGAGTCGGACACTTTTTGCTCTTTCTCCCGAACCTGTCCCTCCTATCCTGCTTCACAGCTTTTTAAGCCTTTCTTCTACCTATCATCCGAAAACAAAAGGAATTATGGATTTGATCAACTGGTCTCTGAACGCAATTGACACTATTTTTTCCACATTGAAATTAGAATGTGGGGAACATAGCTGTCCCAGTGGAATGGATGCTGCTGGTTGGGTCACTGGTTCTTGGGGCTGAAACCTGATCTGTTTGGCACCACTTTTCATTGAAGAAGTGGAAGATTTGTACATATTTGGATTTATGATAACTGGATTTCTGCCGATTGGCAGAGGCGGATTTCTGGTTTATCGGAAAACAAAAGCGATCCTGAAAGCAGTCTGGGCCTGTGAGAGGCTGTCAGGAAACATGGACGGAATCTCCCATACTGGCAATGCACAGACTCAGATGTTGGGGGAGATAAGTGGCAAACTGGATGTGATTCTGACGAGAATCGCGGCTCAGCAGATGTAGGATTACACCTGGGTGAAGTTTCATACGGGAAGAGGTGAAGAGGTGATGAAATTAGGAACATTTTGCATTTTTTTCACCATTTCAGAGATGCAGTTAAGACTTTAAAATGGCAAGAAAATCGAGGCTGCTTGTCCCAAAACAATTGTGTTTAATTTTCGGATCCCAGCAGCTGCTGGCCTTGGTTGAACGGCAGTTAACAAAAATTCCCGGGAGGATATGTCAACAAAGACTTGATTCTCCCGCTCCCTCTCCCAATATCATCCATGTGGACCAGTCTGAAGGCCGTGGTGGTGGTGAGGGAGATTTCACCGTCACATGGGAAAATGGTAAAATATTCTTTTTTTGGTAAAAAATTATTTTTTGAGAGGTCTAAAAGATGGTGGGTGGTTCACATCTTTTGTTCACATATTTGCTTGTTTCTCATGCAATATCTGGCAACACCTGACACTGAGAACTTCTTGTTGTTATTTTACTTTTTGAAAATTGCATGTATTGAATCAAAAACCATCGTACCATCAAAGCAGACAAAAGGACGAGCCGTCTCGCAGATTTCATCACGCCAAAAACCAATCCAGTTCATCACCACACAGCTCTGCTTTCCGCCCTCATAGTTGGGCTCACCGGCTTCCCAGTGGAAGAAACCACGTTCACCGTCGTACCGACCACCTCCCATGGTCCACTTCCAGCTCTTTGTGTCATCATAAAGCCCTATCCAAGCATGTTTTCCAGGCTCCTGAGCTGCAAGCAGCAGCAGCCTGATGTTCTCGTCTTGGCTGTCCACAGTAGCCAGATCCGTATACACCTCTCTGCAGAAGTTCTGAGCTTCTGCCCACGTCTTTGAGATGTTCATGTAGTGGTACTCTCTGAACATGTTTGTAGATAGAACATAAAGCCCTAAGAGAAACAAAGTTTTAGTTAATGTGTAATAAAAAATAGAGATCCATTCATACAGGTTTTTTAAGGCCCAGGCTGGTGTTGATTTAAAATGAGCAGTTAGGTTTTCTGTAAAGACCCCCCCCCCCCAAAAAAAATGCATAAATGACTATATCATATTAAAATAATTAATTTATGTTAAATTTAAGATGCACCAGTCTAGCTGTTTCAGTTTATATACATATATCAAGGCTGCCCAAACCTTTTCCCCAAAATAAAAATGCGTCCGAGGATTGCAGCCAAACGCAATAATATAATTCATGAAATACAAGTACGGTCCTTTTATTTTACTGATTATGTCCTGCTGGAGTGTGACATGACTTCTTTGTGTTCAAACTAATATGGTATCAGAATTTTATAATTATACTTCTCATTCAACCACAATTAAATTCACTCTATCTGGGAGGCACAATTTATATGGATAGTATTTATTTTTTTACAATAACAAGCTTAATAAAAGTAATGACTTTCTACTTATTGCCTTTTTTAAAATGTAAGGAGTAGAAAGTACAGATGATTGTGTGAAAATGTAAGAAGTAGAAGTAAAAAGTGGGCTGAAAAGTAATTATTCAAGTAAAGGGCAAATACCCAAAAATTCTACTTAAGTACAGTAACAAAGTATTTGTACTTACTTTACAACTCTGGCTAATACAAGAAAAAAACGTAAATATTGTCAGGCAGATGTATCGATCTCTAATAAAAATAGATTTTTTTTAGGCTGTGATTACATATTTTCATTATTTTACCAACTGAAGGACGTCTTAAACGGATTCATATATGCAAATAAAAAGTGAGATAATTCAGAATTAGATTATTACAACTCATAGAGACTGACCTGAGAAAGTGAGTAGCAACAGCACCGATTTCTCCATTCTGAAAAATTAAAATATTTTCAAGACACTGAATATTCTCTGATCAATGGAAAAAAAAAAGGCAATAAAAAACTGATTATTTTGCAACATCACTATTAAAGTATTTAGACAAAGCATGGTTTGGATTAAATGATGTGTCAAAAGTTATGTCCTGATGCTTCTCAGTAATCCAGGTAGAAAAAAATCAAAAAGAAAAAAATAATTAGGTCCTCTGGATGGATTCTTCTAGAACCCATCCAGAGGACCTACTTATTTTTTCTTTTTGATGTCAAAAGTTATGTTCATATTTTTCAGAGTACTTGGATTTGCAACCAGTTTTCTTAAAATATGATTTCCAGCTTCATAAAAATCAAATATGTAGAAAATTCACAAAGAAAAGATTAATCTCATTAGACCTACCTGGATTTGGGAAAAGTCCAGCTGTTATTTCTTGTGGCTTCCTTGCTTGAGTTTGTGACCGGATCGGACTCATCCTCACTTTTATTGCCTGTCACTGCACTTGCTCTTTATGCAAACTCAAACTCATTTCTTTTCGGCTTTCAAAGAAAATGGGAACATCACACACAAACTGAGCTTGTGTTTGACTTTAACCTTGAATTCTAAGAAATAACCACCGATTTAATTACTATTGAACTGACATGTGGACATCATTTTGGTCTTAGGCTGTGTTAAGACTAGCTCATCATTTTTATCAGACTTAATCTCTTTTTCTCCAGATATTTGTTCACTTTTTAAAATTGGTACATTTATTACTTGTGTTCTTTAGTTCAAACTAAAATTGAAACATTTACTGGTCATTTATAATCCTAAAACATAAAAGGTGGGACCATGGGGGAAAAATTCCTAATGAAGCAAAACCTTATGTCTTATTGTATTTTTGACACCATGAACTCAAGATTTAATTTTATCAGTTATTAGTTTTATTGTCTTTAGCTTCATTTGTTTTCTCGCTATCATTTGTCACAGATCTGTGAAAGGGATCAACAAAAGACTAAACTTTTCTGCACTACTAGAGACTCCAAATACACTACAAAATATATTTAAGGGCAGAGGTGGGTAGTAACTAGTAACAATTACTCAGTTACCATTTACTCGAGTAACTTTTTTTGGGGAAAAATGTACTTTAAGGAGTAGTTTTCCTACACTCTACTTTTTACTTTACTTGAGTAATACAGTATTATTATGAATTATTGCTACTCTTACTTCAGTAAATATTATGAATACTCACTGTAAGTAACGTCACTGAATAAAGAACAAACATGTTTTGAACCTGAAATGCACCAGAGACACCTGCAGTTTATGTTGAAGTCAGACCTCTTGTTAGTACACAAGCTTTGTTGTTCTAATATTTCCTATCTGCTGAGACAGTTGGAGGTCAGTACACGTGAACAGTAGATACAGTGAGTGGAATTACTTTACTCTAGTTTCATTATGAGAAAAATTTGACTTAGAAAAGTGTTTCTTCTGCTGAAGTTTATTTTGTTATGTTATTTGTAATAATTTTCTTTATTTTAGTTTTAGAGCCCATTCTCATGCCCCCCGCGTCAAGATATTGACGCTTGATCAAGCGTCATAATGTTGACGTGTGGGGAGTACCCCGCGCGTCCTTTCTGTACGAGATGGGGCGAAGAGTAGAATTACGTGAAACTAACCATCCTAGACCCTAAATTTAACTTCTACTAGCCTTATAGAGCCTAACCCTGACCACAGATTCTAAAGTTAACTATTACCCTGATCGCTCAGGTTAACCACATCTCTCATGTTAACCACAGACCCTAAAGTTAACCATTAACCCCTAACCTCATGTTAACCACAGACCCTAAAGTTAACCATTAATCCTGATCCCTCATGTTAACCACAGACCCTAAAGTTAACCATTAATCCTGATTCCCCATGTTAACCTCAGACGTTGCGCAAACCCGGAAAAGCCGCGGGCGGCAAGGACGGATGCGCGGGGTAACCCCCGTGCGTCAACATGTAGACGTATATATGTTACCAGTCCGACATGAGAATGTGTTATTTGATCTTATTTGAATAATTTCTTGGACGACTAATTTTTACTTTTACTTGAGTAAATATGTAGTAGTAGAAGTATTAGTGCTACTCTTACTTGAGTACAACTTTTGGGTACTCTACGTATCTTTGCTTGAGGGCTAAAAAAGTGGATTTTGACACGTCTCCTTTAATGACTCTGAAACTTAGATTTCAAATTATCTATTCCCCTTCATGTTACAGTGGGCAATCTTTATTAACACAAGTGTTCACTTCACAGATCTGTTATTTTATTTGTGTGGTTATTTCTATTTTGTTTGTTTTTTTACTGTTGTGTTGTAGTTTGATTTGATTGGGAGTGGATTTTACATAAGCCTGTTTAGGCTTTTACCATTCTCTTGCACGTGAAATATGTCATTTTGAATTGTTGTTGTATTCTTTGTTTTACTTCTTATGTGTTAAATAAATACATCAAACATCTGCTTCCTCTACTGATTTGGTTGCTGTTGTTTTTCTTGGATTTCTATGCTTGGTTGCTAATAGTGGTTTAGGAAATCCCTCAGTAATTATGCAAACTGAACGTTGTCACCTCATTTGCAGTGTGCCCATGAGGTGGGGAAATGAGGCGCGTGACCTTCAGCTCCAGGGTTGTTCAGACTATCATCTAAATAAGCAAAGGAGGATATACAGTTCACAGCCTTTATAAATAATCATTTTATCCATCTGCATATCGTTAATCATTAAATTGTTTCACATTTATGGTCCATTAAATTGGTGTGATTTAAACTGACAAAATTCTGAAGCACAACACTTGACACAACATATTTTACTAAAGTTAAATAACATAACACACACACACACACAAACACACACACATACACACACACACACATACACACACACACACACACACACACACACACACACACACACACATATATATATATATTTTAGATACTGTAGGCATTTTTCAGTTTACCTCGCCAGCCTCACAAAACACTTTTTACAAGCACATTGACTCTGAATTGGTCTTTTTTGTTAGACGTGAGTTGTCCAGTGTAGGGGTTACTTTTATATTACAATTTCCGCCACAAAATAAAGTACCAGAAGCTTTATGTTGAATAAACTTTAAATAACTATTTGTCTTTATCATCTTTACCTGCTGCTTCCTTGCAGGGGGTCACTGATGCCCACGTCCAGTTGTTACAGTGTGTGTGTGTGTGTGGGGGGGGGGGGTGACGATACACTGGACTGGTCACAAGTCCATCGCAGGAACATATACAGCCATTCAAAGTTTACAGAGAGATAATTCAATGGCAATATAGACTTATCAATTAGCCTAACATTTATGTTTTTGGTCCCCTGAGAAAACCCACACATGTATGGTGAGAGCATGAAAACTCTAAAGGTCTCTGGCCGGGATTTGATCCAGCAACCTTTTTGCTGAGAAGCAACAGCTCTACCAACTGTGCCACCATGAAGCACCTCTATTCTAGGCCTTATTTACAATGCTGACTATGGTGCTTTGCCAGTGGGTTCTGACGTTATCAGTCCATTAAATGGACGTTATTAGTGGTTATTAGTAGGGATGTCCCAATCGGGTTTTTCTGACCCCCGAGTCCGAGTCCTTTAATTTGAGTATTGGCCGATACCGAGTCCCAATCCGATACTTCTAAAATACATTTTTAAAACGAAGAAAAGAAAAGAAACAGATCCAGGATGTCCCTTATTTTTTATTTTATTTACCATACTATAACATTTAACAGAGTACTTCTGTGAGGTAGCTTGAACAATCAATAAGAAATAAAATAAATTCTTCACATTGAAGTTTAGTGCAACAGTAAGAAATGTCTAATTTAAAATAAGCCGCTCAACTTAAAAAAGAAACTTAACGTGTCAGTGTTATAAAATAAGGTTTTCTGAACTGCACTCCTTAACTCTCCTCCTGTGGCTTCACAGAAGCAAGTGTATGTTTTTCTTTATGAAAACCAACATCTCTACCTTTTCAGGTTTGAGTCTGTTTCTGTGCTCATCAAGGATATTAGCAACAGCACTGAATAGTCTCTCACTGTCCACAGAGCTGCAAGGAGCACATAGGTACTGGGTTGCAACAGCAGCCATGGAGGGGAACTGATTAGCATGTTCTTTCCAGTACTGAAGTGGGTTGCTTTTCTTAGGGGTGGTTTGCTCTGAGAGGAAGGTCTGTACCTGTAGTTCTGCTGATGTGCTACTCACGGACCGGGCCTGTGACTGCCTCTCTTGTAAGATTTCCTCAARGGTGCTGTCCAGGCTGCTGCATGCTTCACTCCGTGGTGCCTTGCTTACTGGCTCTGCTGCATTCCCTGCTTCCTCTAACACTGCACTGGTGGCTCTTGTTGCCACCCCCTGGATGAGGTGTTCCTTTGCCAGTGTCATGTTGGCTGACTTTGTGAAGAAGTTAAAAATACACAAAAATAACACTTTTAAAATCAACATAGGACGAGAGATGTCACATAGCACAGCTCCTCAGTTAGGCCACTGCCTTGATTAAAGATCTAACTATAGAACCATATGTTAACAAAAAGGGAACTAAAAATAAATAAATTTGCTTAATATTGGCGTTGGTTGGTAATGATTTGACTTTATATAAAATTAATGTACAAAAGGTGCATTTTAATTTWACTGTACTTGCCGATCTTTGTATCTGGGATTTATAAGAGTGGCGATGTAGAAGACTGGCTCAGTTTCAAAATCAGCAAAGCGCTTTTCGACTGCCTCAAGGAGAGTCTTCATGGTCTTGATTCCCTGCTCCTCATCCTCCTCCCGAGACAGAACATGTTTGAGGACTAATGAATGAATGAATGGTTAGTTTCAAACAGTATCAATACAATATAAACAAAAATACAAATGACTTGTTATGGCAGGGATCACATCAGCTGCAGTTGCAGTCTCTCTGCTTGTGAGCAGAGAGACTGCAACTCCCTAGTCAACTGTTCAAAGGGGGCAAGCAAGCTGTCTTCTTCATCAATTTACACTGACTGGCGGTCAGTGTTGCTGGTAAAGTGTGCTCAGCTGCAAAGACACTGAGAGCCCGTTTTTGTTCTAGTAGGCTCTGCAACATGTAGAGACTGCTATTCCATCTCGTCTGAGTATGACAAGAGCAGAAGTGAAGTATTAGCAATCTATGAAATGAAGTGTATGAGAATAAATAAGAGGGGGTGGGATAATGTTACGAGAGGGATCTCACCTGCACGTCTTGTTGTAGGCGCTTCATATCCATTTTCAGGTCCATCTGGATGTCTTCAAGGCGAGAGTAGGCCAGTGGCGTGTGTTTGAAATGGCCTACAATTTTCTTCACATTGGTCAGGCTGTCTGTCACACTGCGCTGGGAAAGCAGGCCCTCATGCACGCAGAGTTGGCAAGAATGTGCGACACAACCTACACTCCTCACTCCCATACTCCCCATGGCTTCATATTTGCAGCGTTGTCACGCAAAATGACGTGGACCCGTTGCTTATCGATTCTCCAGTTGTTTAGCATCTTTTCCATCTCCTGTTGGATGCGCTCTGCTGTGTGAGAGCCGCAAAATTCCTGGGCATGCAGGGTTGCACGACGTAAAATAAAACTAGTCAATCCATTGTGCTGTGAGGCTTAGAGTAGTGACATGGGAGACACAGACGAACTCCAGATGTCTGTGGTAAATGAAACATGGGGCACGTCTGATAACAGTTCAAGTAGTTTGTCGTGAATTTGATTTTGAAGCGCTGGCAGTGCTTTCTCAGTGAAATAGTGGCGAGAGGGCATTTCATACTGGGACTCTAAGTTCTCCATAAGCATAAGGAATCCCGGGACTTCCACAAGAGCAAATGGCTGGTCGCTCATTGCAATCATTTGTGCTTTCTTAGCTGCCTCCTGCCTCCACTTCAAGCTAATGCCGTTCTGTATCTGTTTTACGACAGTCACGGCTTTACGGCAGGCACTGCTGCAAAAATACTGCGCATGTGTTGTTTCGAGACAATTTGAGTCTGTAACACAACATACTAACAGTTATTATTCCCGTTTGTTTTTAGAATAAATATACACATAGACTGGCGACAAGATGGCAGAAGAGAAGTAAGACGTGTTTCGCGTAGGCTCCCGCTCTGACTGGTCTGTTTGTGGTTCTCTACTAAATGTCCTTGCAGATTTGAGCATTTGATCTGTCCGGAATCGACCCCTGAGTGATTCTTGCCTGGAAAAATTGAAGAATGGCGACAAACTTGAGGAAAGGCAAACATTCTGGCTCTGCGGCCGTTAGGCCCGACGCCGCCTCCGAGCAGACTGCAGCTAAAGCCGGATGTTAGGCACCTCTTTCTCCCTTCCGCGGCGAGGTGGACACACTCTCCTTGAAGTCTGACATTCTTGCCGCTATAATAAAAGCGGCTTTGGCTGAAGAGTTTACTTCTATTAAAGGAGAGCTACAAGCGGTGAGAGCGGAAGTGGCTAACGGCACAATGCTACTCCGCGCCGACCTGGACCACCTAAAACAGAGCGTTAAAGAGGTGGAGGACGGCTTGTCAACCTGGTCCGATGAGGTTGTTACTCTACGCACCACCGTGTTGGAGCTGAAAGAAGAAGTTGATAGGCTCAAAAAGAAGTGTGACGATATGGAAGGGCGCATGAGAAGGTGCAACGTGCGGATCATTGGAGTTCCTGAGATGCCAGAATCCAGCTCCACTGTAGCCGTGGCTAAACTGCTAGCAGAGGTTCTACAGTTGGATAAAGTGCCACTGGTTGACCGAGCACATCGCTCTCCAGGTGGGAACAAGTCGGGCGATAAGCCACGGGTTATTGTTGCTAAGCTGCACTATTATCAAGAATGTGTGGAAATATTGCGTCTGGCTTGGAGTCGTGGCCCTCTTCGCTTTAAGGAGGCCCCGATTATTGTCACATCTGACAACACAGCAGCTGTGGCCAGGGCTCGGGCGGCGTTTACGGAGGTGAGGAGGCTTCTTCGCAACCGACGAGATGTTCGCTGCGGCTTGCTTTTTCCTGCACGGCTCCGCATCTCTCATGGGGAGGAAAACAAGGAGTTCCTGGATGCCAATAAAGCAATGGACTACATTAAAAAGAAAATCATCTCAGCGTTGGACAACGAGGACCGGCGTTGACCGCAGGTCCAATTCTCATTGATCCATTATGACTGTCAGGTTGTAATGAACCTTCCAACTTTATGTCCCGCGCTATATCTTGATTTAATTTTAGACTTTATTCCGAGGGACAACATTCCTTTTTTTGTTCTATGTATGAGAGTTTCACAGGGGGTCTGTGCAGATCTTGGTAAGTGATTTATTTATCAGTGCAGCAAGGAGCATAATCAGTAATAATACTTTAAAGAAAGGGAACCCCTTTTGTTTTTATTTTTGTTACTGTTATTTAGTTATGGCGGGAGACCAGGCAGGGAGTTAAGTTCCCCGTATAAGCACAAATGTGTGGATTTGTTGTTTGTTGGGTTCTCCGTGTTTTTTTGGGAGAAAGGGGTGGGACTATACCGGGTTTGTCTGTTTTGAGAATGTCTTTTGTCAGGTTATCTTTTTGTGATGGTTTGTGGATACTGTACTACAGTCCGATTGACCATACATGAGCAGATCTAATACTAATAGGTTCATCAACAGTCACCCAGTTAACTGTGTGAGTTGGAATGTGAAATCCCTCGATCCAATGAAATTTAGGAAAGTTATGACACATTTAAGACAACTTGATGCTAATATCACTTTTTTGCAGGAGACCAGTTTGTGTAAGGCAGACAGTGCAAATCTAAGCAGGTGCTGGTCTGGTCAGGTGTTTCAGTCTAATTTCCAATCTAAATCGAGAGGGGTAGCCATCTTAGTTAGTAAACAGGTGCAATTTACGGCATCCAGTGTTAAAACGGATGCTGCTGGATGTTATGTTAATGTGGTGGGAAAACTATATGTATTTCCAGTCATTTTAGTTTCGGTATATGCCCCAAATTGGGATGACCAAACATTTTAATATGCTTTTTTCAAATTTACCCAATATTTCAACACTTAATCTCATAATCGGGGGAGATGTGAACTGTGTGCTATCATCCCTCGATCGTAGTACAGTGGGGAGGATCTCTGTTTCAAAATCAGCCCAGTCAATTAATTTATTTCTTAACACCTATGGAGTGGTTGACGTGTGGCGTTTTTGAAATCCGACCCTGAGACGGTATTCGTTCTTTTCCCCTGTTCATAAGAGCTATTCACGGATTGACTACTTTCTCCTCGATAAACGGATTTTACCTTTAGTGAGTGAATGTGAATATGGAGCGATAGTCATTTCTGATCATAGTCCGCTCATAATGAAACTGAAAGTTCCTGTTACACAATTGGTCTATTGTCCTTGGCGACTTAATCTGATTTTTTTTATCTGATGAAGACTCAGTTGATATGCTTGCCTCCGAAATTAAATTTTTTATTGATGTTAATCGGATTACTGGGATGCCACTCAGCACTGTTTGGGAGTCATTAAAGGCTTACCTGAGAGGTCAAATAATTTCTTACTGTGCAAATAAAAAGAAGAAAAACATTGAACAGCTAAAATCGCTAACAGATCAGATTTTACAATTAGACAGGGAATGCTGTCGTGCTTTTACACAAGACTCACTTAAGAAACGTATATTAATCCAAACAGAGTTTAACATCATATCTACCCAACAGGCCGAATATTTAATATCCAAATCTAGGTAAGACTACTATGAGCATGGTGAGAGTGCTGGACGCCTTCTTGCACAGCAGCTACAGCAGCGCTCAGCTAAACAGGATATCTCAGCAATAAATGATAAGCATGGTGTAAAATGTTGTGAGAATGCAGGAATTAATCTGTGTTTCAGCAAATTTTACCAATTTCTGTATACCTCCGAAGCCTCACCTAACCCTACTGAATTGGATGATTTTTTTAAAGATATTAAAATCTCTTCACTAATGTAGCAATAACTTGGAGTGAAATGTTAATGCTCCAAATTCTGGCCATCACTTGACTCTGCCCATGTTTACAAGAGAACAGAGACCTATTCATTTACCTCCAAAACCTTTGTTTACTATCTACGACTGGTAAGATAACGACAGGATGCGACAGAGACCTTCTGTTGTTTGAGTACAGTGAGAACTCTTTGATGTACTCAAAATGGCCGCTTATCACAAAAGAACTCAAGGTTTAGCAGACACGAAGTCTGGCAGAATGGGTTCTGCTAGTGAGAAAGCCCTTTTTAAGCCAGACCCCCTGGTGATATATACCACTCAGATCTACATCAAAGACCTTGTTTACATACCACCTCATTTATGGTGTCACAGTGCCCCAAAAGACTGGTTTTATAATTACACCGTGAATGAATGTTTTTCTGTATTTTTGTTTTTCTGATATAAAAAAAAAAAGAATCATTGTATTTTCTACGT